CATTTTGTAATACACTGAACAGGCACCCTGTGCAGTTAAGAAGGGTGTAAGAACAAACCATGAGGTGGATTGACTGATCCCTGATACATGGGAAAACGTGCAGCTCATTGCTGGCTTTTTACTGCAGCAATTTTCTTCCCATTTTTGTTGCTCTGCATTATTTCTACCATGTTCCTTCTTTGGATTTACCTTTTTCCCTTCTTTCCACTTTCACACTAGAGGGTCTAATCACTGAGGCCTGTTGTGGACATTGCCATTTTCCAGTTCCAGTTTAAACATGCTTATTATTGTGAACACACCAATAACCTAATCAGCCTTCTTCCTCCATCAGACTCACATTCCCCCTATAGTTGTTTTACCTCATAAATCTGATTTTCTGGGATAGGGAATTTCAGAATTGCAAAGTTTGGCTGTAAATGGAACAGAATGAATTCCCATCCTTTTTAAGTGTCTTGAAGGGAAATTATAAAGGCTGGAACAGTCTCTTCTCAATTACTTATGTGATTACAGGGGCAGTAGTTAGGACAAGGAGAAAAGATATCACATATTCTCTGTACAAGTCACTCATATTTTATAGTCATTTACCCTTTATTTCATAATTGAAAAAGAAATCACTGACACTAGTAGGACTCACTTCCTACTTTCCTGTTAACCACAACAAAGTCCTTAGAGATTCAAGATATGTGGGCTCATATAACTTGAACTGGGCATGATTTAAACCAAGAAAAGGAAGGAAGTTCTCAATTCTCCGCTGGGTCTTTTTCAGCTAAGGTTTGACCTTTGGTTTTCTTCTTTGATTGATAGTTTTGGGGGTTTTAAATGAAAATTAAGAGAATTGCAATGCCATTAATACTCATAGGTTTGTTGATCCATCCATGCTGTTGCAGACAGCAGCAGTGCGAGTTCTTCAGGGACCCGTAGATTTATTCTTCCCTAACCCCACCCATTACAGCTGTCAAGCAGTAAATGAACTGGATCCTCGTGTTACTTTAGTGTTGGCTTGTGACCTACATTTTCCAGGGTGCTTTATCTGTCTCCTCACCAGAACTGTGAGTTGCCCAGCCCTGCTCCTGTGGCTCCCCATGCGCAGCCCTGGGGCCGTGGCAGCCCCTGGCCAGCTGGAGGGTCCCAGCTGGTGTGCTGCCAGCACAGCCCTGCTGGGCTCCACCTGCCCCAGAGCACAGGGCTTGTCACTCAGGGGGGACTGACACCAGCTATTAGTCGTGATGGACGCACACTTGACTAGTTCTGATAGTGGTATTTTCTTTTGGGCTGTGACATTATTTGAACAGATCACCTTTGTTTAGCACTCACCATGCTCTCATTTGTCAAACAGTTGTCTTGAAACAATATGATGGCACAAAGTCCCCAAATATGTCTATGTTTGAAGCAAGTTCTCTGTTCTTCCGTCCTTCAGGTGCCACTATAAGGAGTCTAAACACCTTTGTGAAAATACAGCTTGGAATAATTAATTCCCTGGTTGAGCACTCAAGAGGATTTTCTTTATTGCTCTTAGCTGTTGGGAGCATGTTCACCTGCAGCTCAGTCAGAGCTCTGACTGTTCCCTACCTTTTATGAGAGTTGCTTTGCTTAAATGAAGTTTCTGGAGAGAACATAGCAATATGGCTTAGAGAGGACAAACGCAGCAGACCCCTGTGTAGGGTATATTCTTGGTCTCTGGAAAATTGTCCGTATTTTCCTCATTCTGAAATGCTGATGGGTAATCAAGCAAGCTTCAGAGTCATGTTGCAGCAACTGCCAGGGCAGGCAAGTTGGAACCAGGTAGAAGTGCAGTTTTGCCTACATAGGGTCATAGAACCACCAAGACAGAAAGAGACCTTTAGGATTGTCTGGTCCAACCATCCACTTGGCACTGCCACTCTAACCTCTAGTTACAGGGGTAAACTACAACAGCCAGCACCAGATCCAGATGCCTCTTGAAGAGCTCCACCACCATCGTGGACAACCTATTCCTATGCCTGGCCATCCTAACAGTGAAAAATATTTTTTTAATACCAAATCTGAACAGACCTAAGCTTCTCAGTTTAGGGCCATTCCTGCTTGTCCTGTCACTGCAGGCATGGCTGAGGAGACTGGCTCCAAAAACCTTCTTTCAGGGAGTGGCAGAGAGCAATGAGGTTCCCATGAAACTCTTCTACTTGAAACTAACCAACCCCATCTCCCTCGGCTGTTCCTCAAAAGACATCTTTTGTAGACCTCTCACTTGCTGCCCTTTGCTGAACAGGTCCAGACACAGAGCTCAGTACCATCAGTGCAATTCTGAGCAGTGCTGAAATACAGCTCTGCCAATAGGAAGACGGAAGCAGTCAGAGATTTGCCTGCCAGTGAGCACAATAAGTATATTGTTGTGCCACAGTTCAGGAAAGAAACAGCTAGCAACCCTTTCAGTAGCACAAAAACAAGATAACATTTTGTTAACATCGTGTATATCAGCAATCACAAACTCAAAAGAATATTGTGGCTACGCAGAATGGAAACCAGCTAAAGGTATCACAATACATTTTTATTCTCAGGCAGGCAATTGTCTTCTCACTTTTTAGAGAAATAATGCTTTTGAATGCATCAGCAAGCTGAAAACGAAACATGTTTTCAATATTAGAGGGGATTAATTCCTGGTCAAATTGGAAATGTTTGTGTAATTTTTTATATCTTAAGCTACTCCCACCCCTCTCCCCAAAGATTCCCCATTCATTTCAAGTCCAGTAGAATTTTTTTTCCTGTTAACTGCTAGAGGGCTGCTAGGGGCTACCTATAGCAACTCAAAGCAGGACTGTCACCAGCAATAAATTAGATCATCTCTGGCTTTGTTTAGGTGAGTTTAGAGTTGTGGCTTTGCAACTACCATGTGTATCCATACTGTGCTGGGGATGGATTCCCACAGAGGTGGGCTCACTTCTTACAGATAGAGAAAATAGCATGTTCTGGTGGGTTTTACTATGCCTGCTCAGTATAATGTTAACAGTACGTGTGCACACATCAGCAGAGATGATGAGTTGTCCACTAAGATATCTCACAAGATTTTAAAGCTACTGGACACTAAGAATATCTGTATTCGTGGTTCCACACCACACCTAAGAGCAGTGCTCTACAGAATATCAAAGAACCTGATTATTGTAATGAATTTTGATTTTCCAGAAACTATAACAAATCAGTTGCTAAACCAGTATCATCTGAGGCCCTTAGTAACTCCTGGAGAAATTAGAGGAAGAAAACTGTCATTGCAGAAAAATAAACTTGCATGCTGAAATGTACACTGCACATAGAAACTGAGCTTTGTTATTTTACTCAGCAGGATTATGTGGTGATAAAGTGGGATTGCTCTGGCATTTCAGAATTGCTGTTCTGTGTCGTAACACGGTCCTCAAAATGTCAGAGCCTTGAGGAAGTGATGGACTGGTTTCTTAGCAGGAGCAAATCCCCAGAGCCACCCTGGGTGCGCTTATTTGCACTATGTGGAGGCTGTGTCACAATTTCAGACCACAGAGAAAATAATTAAGGGAACTAAGTTCATTAAATTTTAATGAGATCTTTGCTTTTGTAAAACTTACATATTTCCTTATTTTTACTTATGAAGAGGTGAATTTGTGTAGAGAAAGGCTGGACTTTGCTAACCCCCTTTGCACAAAACAGCACAAGCCCCTACATGGCTGTGTGTGATTATTACATTAACACATCTCTATGGTTACACCACAGAAACCTTTAAGTGTGAATCCGTTTTTTTCTTTTAAGTACCAAGATGTTCCTGATGGAAAAAAAAATGACCTCTTCTTGGCTTCTAAGATAGAGTCAGGGATGTGATTAATGCTGACTGTATTCCACTGTTTTTCCCTGAGGACTAGCTATTAATATTTTCCAGTGATGTATGTCCTTTCACTTAACCACAAATGGGTGGTCAGCAAGGTATCTAAGCCCATATTTTGTCTTAAAAAATCACTTTCACTGTACCATCACACATGTGGCCTTTGACTTAATACCCATGGACTGATCCCTTCCAAGAATGCATGAATGGACACCTCATCCCATCTTACTTTTTTTTCCCAGTTATCTGCTGTTTAAAGCAGCCTGAAAAGGCTGGTATGAAAAGGCTGCCTGAAAGGGCAGGTATTTCAAGATTTGGTATATTACTGGGTTAACTCATAGTGGCAAGCTGCTGAAAAGCTTTACTCATCTGTAAACTACGTGCTCTTTGGTGTACAGCCTTGCAAAGTCAGTTCAATTTGGCTTTATTTTTGGTTCTATCAGTTGTATCATTGGGTTGGCCCAACAAAATAGCTGCCACTTTCAGAAGGACACACCTCTCATTTTCTTTTAAGCAAGCATATTAATAGAGAAGAAAGGTATCCAAGATCCAAAGCTGTGCTTTGTTACACAGATGTGAACAAATAAAGAAAACAACCCTCTGAAATAAGCTGAACCACACAAAGAACAGAGCAGTGGAACAAACCAAGATACTGATGGGCAAGACAAATTAAATAAAAGTCTTGAAAGCATAATGGGTTAATAGAAGTTTCCTCACTCTTCACTCTGTCCAGCACCTTTTTTTCTCAAGATCAATGAATTTCTTATGGTCCTCTCTAGATTCTTCAGAAAGTCTCCTTTCTTCTACAAGCCCAGACCTTTGCCTCCTGCTATAGGCAGTTCTTGTTGTCCACCCAGATATTTCTTCATCTGCCCCGTGGTGGTGCCCACTCTGCGCTCGTGGTCTCTGCCACGCTGTATTGCTTCCAAGAAGGAATAGTTTCCTTTCTGTTGGTTCTCCAGCCTCTCTTTTGCTGCTACCCACTACCACAGCCTCCTTAGCAGAATATCCTGTCCTCATCCCAGGCAGCATCCTGCTCAGTGCTGTAGGAACATGCTATGAGAAAAAACTTTTGGTATTGGGCATGCTAAAAGCATGGGTTTGTTACAATTTACCTTTGTTGTCTCCCTGATATCGTTCATTATAATAACCTTGACTTCTCTTTAAATTTGATTACAAGCTGAACAAGAGTGGGGAAACCAGCAGCTGACTAACACCCTGAACAGACAGGATCTGCTTATTGTCTGACATCCTGGGGATTTCTCAGAAGAGATCAGGGAAGTAAGGGGACAATCGAGGCAGCTGTGAGGTAGGTTTTATGTGCAAAGAGCTCTAAAGGAGTGGGACCTAAAGTGTTGGCACAAGCAGTCTTGTGGCTTCAAAAATTAATGTCTGCCAGGGCATTTTCTGTCTCCGCTTTCTCACTTTATATTTAAGCTTTTTTTATGAACTCCATATCTGGGTTACAAGTTCTTCAGATGCAGTGTCAGATCATTTTACTGACCTGACTCCTTTCTGCTCATCAATTCCTCATTCTGTGTCTGGGTGCCCAGAAATTAAAGTGTCCTTTAATTAGAGTCAATTTTACCATGTATATTCTTAAAAAAATTATGGTTTATAATTTACAGTCATTTATATGCATTTTTTGAGCTCTGCAATGATTGGACCCTCTTGGCACTAACAGATTTGCATCAAGAGAATGCTTGCCTATGAATTAGCCTAGTCCGCTAATAATATCCCACACACCCCTGTTCATTTCTTTAAAATAATGGCTAAGACTAAGTTTGCTGTTTTCCTTCATTCAAACAAATGACTGAATGGAGAAACCAGTGAGCATGCCCCTGGGATCTGGGAGTCTGGGCTTCATCAGGGCTTCAAGCAAATCTCACAGCCAAACCCACAAACTATCAGAGGCACAGAGTCATGCATATATGCTTTTCCCCTTCAAGAGACTTGAAAAGCTCTGAAAAGCCATGTTACAACTGTTGTACACGTCATTTCTAAAACTGCCTCTTCACCTCTTGGTGAGCAACCATTTTGACAGAAATGTCAGTATTTCTGCCTTTGAATAATTTTGATGAAAGAAAGGGTAAAAGGTGTCCTCCTTTCTAAAGAGATAACAGCAAGTGGCGTCCCTCACTCTGAAAATTTTCTTGAAAGAGCCTGTCCCCCAAAGACATATAATGAATGCTCCTGTTGCCAGGAGGCAATTGATATCTTCATGTGGAGGGCTTAATAAATTGAAGCACAGTGGTCAGCTTCCCAGAAAAATGTCACAGAAGGGCAGGTGTCAGGGAGAAATTATAGTAACATGGGAGGCAGGTACAGAGAATTAGCAAAGTCCAGACAAATCAATTACTGCTGCTGTTTACCATCCTAAAATTGCATGAAAACGGAGGTGAGCTGAAAGCCTAATATGATTTTGCAATAAATAAGTAAGATTTTTGGAAGACTATCTTATTTAAAGAACATAGTCTGAGTAGGTGAAGCCCAAAATTTAATTTAGTTGTGGGTTATTTGTGTTGCAAGACTCGGGACTTACAAAAACTATCTAATTAATTGATTGTAGGGTTGCTTTTTTTTGCCTATGATTGCTTTCTTGCAGTATCTGCAGCCTTCCAGTGCCTGCACAGAAGTGCAAATGAGCCAGGAAAGTTAAGGTAGTTATGAGCAAGTTCTTCTAGACACATGGTCATATAATCAGCCAGTTCATTCACTGATGTGAAATGGTAAAAAAAATAAAAAAATTAAAAAAGACTTATTTTTAACTTAGTTCATTTCAGATGGTCATAATCAAATGAGTATAAATATTAGAGATGATGATGTTTTTCCTAAATATTGGCCAGACCATGATATTGATTTCAAAGGATGGCTCCTTACTAAAATCAGCAATTCTACCTAACAAAATCAGAGACAGCCTCAAGGAGCAACAATGGTATTTGGATTTATATGTTCAAACAACCCTAGATTTAAGGTTTCTATCCATCTTAGAATATATTAGAGGTATCTAAAAACCACAGCTAAAATTGAGGTGGTTTGATTTAGGCCTTTTAAGACTGCTGCTGAATTTTGAACTGTTTTATTAAGAGTTTTTTGGGATTTTTTATCTGCAAAGACCTGGCAGAGCTGATTTAATCTCTAATGGCAAAAGCAAGGCAGAGCATTGCACTCCTTCTGTTGCTTTCAGAATCGATAATGTCATCTGCTGCATCAGAAGAAACGTAAATCCTTAAATTTAGATGTCTGGAGCACAGTTTAGCTGCTCCTGTCTTACTCTGGTATTTGAAATACTTTGCAGTGTGAGCACCCAGGATTGATGCCTGCTTCCTAATGTATCCAATGCTAGAGACCCTGCTCTCTCTGTTTACAATCCTTTAGTAGGTTTTTTTAGTGCTTGGTGCCCTCTGAGCAGGCAAGACTGTGTGTAAGACCACAGAAAGTAGATTTGGCCAAGGTTTTTATAGAAAATGCAAATATTTTAGGGTTGTTGAGTAACATGTTGCAATGAAAAAGACAAGCTATGTTTACCCTTTAGAAATACCAGATGGTTCTTGTAGGGTGTGGGGAGAAGAAACACAGAGGAATGGGTTGTTTCCAATGGGGATTTTAGCTTACATGGAAATTAGAAACATGTGGGGATGGAGGTGAAAAACTAAGTTCTAAGGAGGCAACATGGTCATACATGACATATTATTCTGCAGATGAATTCTCAGTTTGGAGTGATGTCCATTCACATTTTCTTTTGAACACGTAACCTGGATTCCAAATAGATGCATGAACATATGTCTTGTGTCTTTAGATGCTAAATTGCATTCCAAGAAGCTTAAACTACCTGGAGTCCTGTCTACAGACTAGATTTTCCTGGGAAAGGAGTTGTAGTGATAGCTACAGGGCTATTTTGTGGTGATAGTGGGAAATTACTGACTTGTTGGCAAAAGTGGAAGGATGAGACACAAGAAAGTATCTTAAGGTATCGTTCATTAGAGGAAGCATGGGAAATTTTAGAATTCCTTTTCAGAGGCTTTACCACGTAAACCTAGGAAAATTCCATTCATACACTCAAGTTCTCTATGAACAGCTTGAGTCTTACCTCATGAAGTTGTCAGGGTTTCTAGATCCCAAGCCACTGTCTTCACCAGAAACAGATTTCCTTGTTCTGCTTTCTCATAACAGAGCAGATGCCAGGCTGGGTCACTGCTAGGGCAAGAAAGCTCATAGGGGGTCCCAACCTGGTGCAGGCAAAACCCTAATGGCTACAAGGTGTGCTACAGGATACAGGAAATAGGGCCCATTTCTTCTGCTCACTCAAACGTTAATTCTCTTCAATGGGAAATTACAAGAATAAGACCAATGTGAACAGGGGAATACAAGATGAAATGGGGTTGACCCACTTTCTTTCTTTTCTTATGCAGCACCTCCTAAATCATGCCAGAGAAGATGGATTATACTTTCAGTCATGAGATAAACCTGTAAACTAGTTCTTGTCTGCAGCACTTGTGTATTATAGATCTTGTGTCTCCTGAAAAATGAATAATTACAGTCCCTGGGGAAACATTCTTTCAAAAATGCAGTCATCATGGATTCTGCAGTGTGGGATGGCTGTATGGACAATGATGATAAAATGAACAGCCTTCATGTCCCCAACAGGCATGAAAGCGAAATGGAAGAGAAAACAGTTCTCATTAGATTAATGAGCAAGGCTTCCAATTTCTGGACAAGTTTCTGTTTCCTTTGCTTTGATGAAATAAATACCATTTGATAAGGACAACCAAGTACCATCAAATCAAACTGTAGCATTAACCAATTGCATACACCCAGATTTAAAGCAGACTTCTCCCAAAACAATGTTCTGTGGAAAGAATGGATCCTTCAGAATAAATTGATGGGATTTTCTTTGCCTCTTCCTGTTTGGCAATCTGTCTTCATTGAAAACTTGGTGAATCAGATTACAAAACTTAACGAGTTGTGCATCATAAATCTGTAGTGTATCTCATGGATGAATTCTTCCATGTGCATATGACATTTACCCTATATTTAGAATGTTGGGCATGCTCATTATCCAAGTGTTGCACAGAGAAGAGTTTATAACAATTCTCTTTGAGCATATGCTCTGAATATAACATACAGAGGTGCTACGTAGGGTCTCTTTTTATCAACCTTTTTGAAGTGTGTATTGTAAAGAAAATAGTCCAGAAGACACAGCCATTGTAATGAAGCAAATGAGCTTTCCAAGTTGAGGCATCTTTTGGGGTAGATGGTGAGTTCATTGCTACTGTGCATACAAAAATTGCTAAGTGATACTTCTCTGTCTGCCTCTTTTGGTGCCACTGAACCAGGTAGTTCTCATAACTGGTACAGCTGCACTCTTGCTTTGCTACCCTTTGTGGTACTAACAGGCATAATGGTCACAGAGACCCAGCTACCCTGCCACCAAGAGATGCCATGCTCTCAAAAGGAAACAGCATACAGTCAAACTTAAATTGCCTTCACCTACCAACAATATTAGCCATCATGCTCCATTTTACAAAGAACCAGACATCGCTTCACCAATGCATTGGCCTAGGATTGATCTGGGTAGAACAAAGGAGACAGGATTTAATAACTATGCAAGTCAAAATGACCTTTCCAGAAAGGTGACAACAGCTGCAAGTGAATAGAGACACAGAGCTTGGAATCTTTGCACACATGCAAGGAAAGCTCACCATTTTGCCTCTGGCATTTGGGCTCAAAGTGGGAAAAGGACCAGAGATGTCTTCAGCTACCTCATTAAGCGAAAGCGCAGCTACTCTCCCAGGAGTAGGGTAGGTGTTTGTCACTCCCCAGCTTAAATGTAATATTTCAAAGCCACTGTTGTTAGCTTCCAACAATGCCTCAACCTTGAAAAGAGTTTCTGTGCAGAAAAACTTGAAACAGTAAAGCATCTCCTAGCTCTAGGAAGCCAAAAGATTATCAGCATTTACAAAGATTTGAGCTGAGTCACAATAGGGTGCTATTCAGGAAATGCATTTATATTTTCATTACTGCTTGTATTATTGCTACCACCGGCACTTTTGTTATTATCATGATGAAGGCAAACACAAAAGGCCTCTGAATATGCTCCTCGATATACAATACCTCATCTCTCCAGAATGACAATGATTATACAGAAGTGGAGGAGAAAACAGCACCATGAAGTAAAGTCCCAGCATTTAAACCCCATCAGGCCTTAGGCAGTGACTCTGGGACCCATCCAAAAAAACAGGATATATTGATTAGACATGGGAACATAAAAAGCACATACCTGCTAAAGCTTCAAACACAGAAAACAATTAAGGTCTTGTCCAATTTTTATCATGTTATACAATACAAAATTGCCTGAACAAGCACTAATAGACTATATTTGAACGGATCATTGCACCCTCTTTATCTACACATGTATTTAAAATTCATATCAATATCACTTTAGGTCAGAATCAATAGCAAAACTTCAAATTCTTTCAGCTTGTCCTAGTGTAAAGACTAGCTGTAAAAAGCCTAAACCATTTCATGATATCTCTCAGGTCACAAAATCCTGGTTTAGAACCCTAAATCCTAATGTTATATCAAGTGTCAGCATGGACTTGAGTTGGTGATGGTTTTTCTCCCAGTGTCTCTGGCCATGGTACATTTCCTAGTGGTAAGCTGTCCCATATTGTTTTAGAAAATAGCATTTAACCATTCAATATTTTGCTTGTTGATATTGTGTGATGAAGCAGTGTTCTGTCAAGCAGTTTGAAAAGGGCAATAGCTTGCAGAGTGCAGACAGAAAAAAAAACACCAATAAACAAATAAAATAAAAATATTAATCTGGAAAAAAAAAAGTGCAAAATTCTCCAAATTCTGGATTTTTTTTTGTCTTGTTTGTCACAGTGAATCATAAAAGAAATCCAAGAATGGACAAGTTCAGAACCTGACAGGATGCTGCATAGTTGCTCTAGAAAAGACTTACCTAGATATGTGCAGCCTTCTGTAGTCCAAGTCAAGAGTGCAGACATCCCACTCTGCTTCCCACAGCCCCTCATGTTCCCAGGGTGGTTATCTTACAGGAGAAGCATCAGGAGAACCCTGCATCAGGTGGAGAGAAGGGAGAAAATATGTCAATAAATGGAGGGCTAGGATGCAGCCAGATTATTTTACATGTTTGTGGGGCATTTCTGCTACAATGGGAATAATAACATTAAGTAAAGAAAGGAAAAAAGATTGTGTAAGAGTTCCCTGTGATGTGTGTGAGACAGGAGAAATGGCTTTAAAAATTCCTGTGAGCTCAGAAACAATGTCCAGTTCTCATTATTATGGTTACTCATCCAAGAGGTGAAATACAAAAGCTGCTGGCAGAGCTGTGGGAGTGAGCCAGAGTGGCCATCAGAGAAGTGAGCAGCATGAGGAGAGAGGGAGCAGGTAATAGGTCACTCCATCAGATCTGATCAGTCTAAATCAGGCCTCACACCTTGTCAGAAGTTAATAGTCTCAGACTGAGAGGGAAGGTTACAGTGTGATGGGAAAAGCAACCCACCAGCCTCCTCCAGAAGACTGCAATTTGTTCGAGCTGCAGATATATTTTACCAATTATTTATTGTAACTCTACCATGTCAGAGTAGGAGTTTTTTTCCTTTAAGTAAGAATATTGCTTATCAGCAATTTGATCCCTGTTTGCAATGGATTAAGCTCTTCAAGCATGACAAAGTGCACTACAGCTTTCCTAGATTTTCTGGTGTACACTTCCCTAAAATTCATGCTTTCTGTCTGTAGCTGCCAACTGAGTCTTGGTAGGGGAGATACACACCCCTAGTTTTGGAGGCTACCAGCTTTGCATGCACTCATTTGTTATTAGTGGAAAATTTTGCCCTATGGTTTATTAAACTTGAGAAGAATTGTAACAATTCACAAGTCAGGAACCACTCTGCATATCCTGGGTTGACAAAGTCACCAGGGAATAGGCCAGTGAAGGTAGTCTCACCAGGGCCATTCTTCCACTGACCATGTCCAAAGGAAGAGGCTCAATCTTTTTCTCTCAGCAAACTCTCAAGGTCATAGTGCAGCATCCCTAGAAAAAATTATGTTGTGTCCTAAGTATTTAGTTCCTAGATTTTATTTATGGCTGACTACCTTTCTTGCTTAGTGGGATGCAGTAGAGGTGGGTGGTGCCTGGGCCTCGCAAGGGAGACTCCGACTTCAGTCACATCACTTCTAGGTCAGTCATGGTGGTCTTACAGTCTCAGACCACTACTTCAATTTTCAAGATTTTTTTTGAGAGATTATATATAAGGAAACAGGAAGGGGTGGAATATTTATGTGGCCTGCTTTATGAGCATATAAAATGTCGTCATGCCAGATGTAACATGCCCAGCAATATAGGTCATTAATTGTTACATAAAGTGATGGAGAGAGAGGAAAAGAGGGGGAGAAAGATTGCTAGTGCTAAACCTGCGTATTCAGGAATTTTAAGGATGAGGACAAGAGGGAAGGGAAGGGAAGGGAAGGGAAGGGAAGGGAAGGGAAGGTGCGGGAAGGGAAGGGAAGGGAAGGGAAGGGAAGGGAAGGGAAGGGAAGGGAAGGGAAGGGAAGCTAAATGTTCCCAGGAAGGGATATTCTCACATTTCTGTGTCCTGCTGTTCAGAGAAAGATCTTTTGTTTGGCTTTACTCTGTTTTCAATGAAATACTGGTTTCTGTTCTTGATGTGGCTGTTGTTGAATTCCATCCTACCCTGCAGGTGTTGCCTTCATCTCTGAAGCAGGCATGCCTGAGCCCATCTGCGTGTGGGAGAACACTAGCCTCCTAACATATTTTACCAAAATCAGGTTCTGACCTTTAAAAATAAAACAGAATCCCAGATACTACATTTTCATGTATGGCCTTTGCCTTATCATGCTGCTCCTCCTTGCCCCTCTTATTCTCATATGCAGTGTAGAGAGGTGCTTGTGTAGTCACTAATATTTTAAAATACATCAGAAGTACTATATAGCAAAAGAAGAAGGTATATATGTGTTTTTGTTTCTGTGTGTGCCCATCACCCTTGCTACCAGATTAAATATACATGAGGGTCACTCAAGTGTTTATCAGTTCCTTCCACTGGCTGAGTCTGCAAAAATGCTCTTATTTGGTAGAGTTGTGTGCTTTAGGGGTAAAGAGCATAAATGTTTTGTCTGCATCCTGCATGCATATATTCATCCTGAGTATAGTTACACCAATTATTTTGCCATCTGAACTCACTCAGCTGAAGAGTTTTCTTATTTGTATTAGCATCAAGTATAGGGAATTAATTTTCTTTGACTCTATTTTGATACAGTCCACTAAAGTAAGAGGTTAAGGTGGTAAACATGGCACAAACTATACATGTGCTCAGGTCTGCAGAAAGATGCACAGGGAAATGAGTGAATAACACCACCCCAGGGAACTGCAGGGAGCATTAATTCATGTGCTCTTCTGCTGGCTGCTGCCAATTGTATCCCCAGTGGAAATACTCCAGGTCACTGAAGAGGTGAGCCCTTATCACTTCCCCAGAGCACGGCGGTCGCTTTGCATCTCCCTGCTCCAGATGGGGCAAGTCAGAAAAGTCTTGGAAAGGATGTAACTGTCAGGAGCACCAACCTGGTGGCAGTTGAGTTATTACAGGAAAATGGAGTACAAGCCTTGCAATGAGCCCAGTAAAAGCCAAAGGGGTACATCATTAAAAGGTGCATTGTTACAGACACTTTACAGAGTGGTGCTCCCTTGAGGGGAGAAGAGCCCTAACCAAAAGCTCTGTCTTTCTTGCCTAAGATGGAATGGCAAGGAAACACAATCTAGAAAAAGTTAGGGCCAAGCTTAATAGCAAAAGTACAGTTAGTAACTTCACAGAGCATATCCACAAGATAATTTATGACAGCAAAGGAAGGAAGGGTATGTACCATGGTAAGTGCTTGTATAAAAGCAGGGCAGTTCTGCAAAACAGCTTATAAATATAAAAAAATGAAAAATGAGGATATTTTTGCATTTCCATAGTTGAGAAGATTTGAAGGCACAACTCATTCTTTATTTTTTGCAGAAACAGCTCTCTCCATTAACTCTTCTCAAGGGTTGGTCGCCCCTACAAGGAGATTTTTTGGAATTTTTTTTCTTGCTTTCCTAGGAATGGAGTCACTCACACCTCAGTGGCATCAGCTTGATGTTTGATATGTGTAAGCAACTGGGAGCCAAAAGTGGACCTATGCCACTTTGCTTTTTGTCTTGGGCAGTTGAGAGACCAGCTGACACCGAGCCAGGGTACCAAATCATTCACAAACCAGGGCATTTAGAACTAGAAGGTTTATATATTGGCAAAATTTCTGGTCATTTTGTCACTCTTCAGTGCTTGCTTTACCTTTGATGGCTGCAGGAGAATGTGGAACATGCTTGGAAATGAGGCATTAGGTGGATTGATTCAGCCCTCTAAGTTTGCTTGAAACAAGCCTAGCAGCTTTGTCTCAGTGTCTCAGGAGTACTTAAGCACACCTTCCCTGGGGACCAGAACAGTCTCAGGTTAGCTTCTCCTCATGCTTGTTCAGCCATGCAGCTTTGAGTGGGGAAGAGCAGAGCAATTTCCCTTGTTAATATCTGTCATTACCCTGGACTTCCAGAGAACAGACTGGCCTCTTCAGGGATCTGCTTGATAGAGCACTGTGGGATAAAGTGTGGAGGGAAGAAGGGCCCAAGAGACCTGGTTGATATTCAAGAATCACCTCCTCCAAGCTCGGGAGAGATGCATCCCAACAAAGGGAAAGTCTAACAAAAATGCCAGGAGGTCAGCATGGATAAAATATTTGCTCCTGAACAAACTCAAACACAAAACAGGAAGCAAGGACAGGTAGCCTGAGAGGAATAGAAGAAATTATCCAAACAACCAGGTATCAGGTCATGAAAGCTAAAACCCTGATTGAATTGAATCTGGACAGGGATGTCAAGGGCAGCAAGAAAAGCTTCTATAAGTACATCAGTGATAAAAGGAAGAGTAGGGAAAAAGTTGTGAAGAAGTTCTTTACTCAGAGGGCGGTGAAGCACTGGAACAGGTGTTGTGGATGCTTCATATGTGGAAGGGATGGCCAGGCTAGATGGGGCCTTGAGCAGCTTGATCTAGTGAATGGCATCCCTGCCCACAGCAGGGGGGTTTGAAACTGGGTAATTCAAAAACTTCAAAAACTACCCATTCTGTGATTCTATGATTCAGTCCATGACCTGATGAGTTGTATTCATGAGCCATAAATGAATGGGTGGAGGAAGTTGCTAAGTCATGGTCAATCATATTTGAGAAGTCATGGAAGTCTGGTGAAGTTCCCTCTGACTGGAAAAGGAGGAACATAAGCTCCATTTTTAAAAAGGGAATAAAGCTTCAAGTATGTGTCACCATCACTGACCCAGACTGTGGAGGATGCAGTTCTGCTTTTAAATCACTAAGAATAAGGTATGTGATGGAGCAGCAGTGGACACTACTCTATGTAAACATTGGCTCAGTTTAATAGCAGGGAACTAACTAGCTGGAAGGCTGCAGACTGCCTCCAGATTAGCAATTAGCATGGTAGAGGTCATAACAAAACAGCCAGAGATGGGAGTATGCTATTTCTAGAGTCCAGCTATATATGTTTCTTTTGCCAAGGCCAGGACTCAAAAGATCACAAGCATGCTGGACATTAAAAAGCAAGTTCCTTGAAAGACATGTTCACTAAGCTGTCAGGGAGCTGTTAGCAGGGAAAGGACAGGCAGATAGACAGACTCCCACAGGGGCCTGGAGAAGCAGAGCATGCCTCTATACTAGAAAGAGGTCAGAGGAGCAGCTAACCCTGGAACTGTGACAAATCCTACGTCTCAATCTCTTCTACACACTAGCTTTTCCATTCCTCTAATCCTCTTTGTCACCTGTCCCCAGGCCCTTGTTATTTTTACCATATCTCTTTTTCAATCTGAAATAACCAGAATGGAAAAAAGGTCTTCAATTTATATAGCGAAACAGAAATAATACTAAAAATTCTCCCCCACATAGTCTGAGACAACGACCAGCATAAAATAGTAAAATTTTCAGTAAGCTGCCTGGGTCTTTGTTTTTTCTAAATGG